ATGTTGGCCCTGGGAACCTCAAAAGCATTTCTAGGAGCTGTCTATCCCCTAGGAAATACTCTTGAGATCCTGGTGCTATTTCTATTTCCAGGAAAATGAGATCTAGCCCTGGGATCTTCACTTTACGTACCTGACTGAACACGAAACTAGCTCTGGGAATACATCGACCATATCTGGGAGCTGTGGAGCCCCTGGGAGCTTACTTTAGGGCCCTAGAGTCACTCTCTTGCCTTCCGAGATCGTCGAAAGTCCTCACAAAACACCTTCACCGGACCTGCGCAAAATCCTGCGTCATTCGTCACTCCTAGAAGGCCAAATCATCGCTCCAGGAATCAAGCAAATCGTCAACAGGAACGCGGCTTTGATTCCCCGAGGTGGGGATACCAGACCCCAGAAGCTACATCGGGTTTCCTGGGGGATATGTGGCTCCTAGAAGCTGCTTCTTTGCTCCCAGAAACGTTTCAGAGGTCCCTGGGAGCAAGAGAACTCCCAGGGCCAAGGCTTGTGCTCCTAGCACTGATAGAACCGTCAACAGGAGCGTGACCGGTTTCTTGATAGTGATGATGGAGATGTGCATGTTTGTCTCTGGATACTGCTATGGATATCTATCTGCTGTTTATACGGACAGAGATAGAAATGCGCATAAAACAAGTAAAAGTTCACATTTTCCTAGACTTTAGTCGTGAGAAATATCAAGGCGAAGTAAAAATGATGTCAGACCAAATCGGGCCTAGTAAGTATATATTCCCGCTTACTTTTGGAGGCAGTAATGGGACGACGTCTGTCTGGGCAAAAATTGGAGGGCGAACGGCGAACCACCGGGATGAAACCCCTGGTATCTGTAGAGAATTACCGAGCACAGCGAAGCAGAAATACTGACTCTAGTTACGTCCAAGCTAAAATTAAATCCTGCTCCTACTCATTCATATTACTACAATAGCGAGTTGATACAGTATCCGCTACCTTACGAGCTTCAAGCTCCCGGGGACCACAAAGCAGGCTATGGAGAACCTCGTCTCTTGTGCTTGGCACATTCAGCACACTTGGCCTTGCGGCGGTCATGCGCATGTGGGCATCCCTTGGAATCATGATCCACTGCGCAGTAGGCGCAGTGAATGTCTCGCTTGCAATTCCAGGCTATTTGTCCGTACGGCAGCGGTAGCATTACTGGAGGCGGTGACTGCCGTCAAAGAACCGACAGTCGTGAGGTATTGACGGATTTGGCGGTTGCTGGGGTCTTTGTAGCTTGGGCGTCGATAGTGTGCTGCATTGTGGAGATCATACCGGAGTGCTTTCTGTCGTGCTCACTCAGCAGGGCGCGGAGGCGCCCTAGCTCCTGGAGCAACTCGCTGTCGCGCATCTGGTCGTCAGGGAGGACGCTGCTTTCAGGAATTCCGCGAACCGATCAATATGAGGAATCCCGCCTTCATCAGCGGCAGCTTTTCACTGCTGGGTGGCCTTCAGGAGTTTCTTTGCATGCGCTCGTATTTCTAGTTCCATGTGGTCGGAGTTTGGGTTGACCCACACGGATGACCGCCCATAGCGGCCACCACAAAGGCGGAATGCGGGCAAAATTTCGGTCAATTGATTCGTCCGTTTATAGAGAATTAGGTGAAGTAAGCCGCCAAGCGCCAAATCTGCTGTTTCTGCAGTTGGGATTTTGCAAAGAGTTTTGGCCACGTTGGGGAGAGCGGATATTTTGCATACACGGTGTGTGCGGCAATTTGGCATTATCCGCCGTGGACGACATTGGGGGAAGCTCTCGACCGAAAACTAGAGAGCTCAAGAAGTGTCCAAAGGTTTATTTTTTTCCAATTAGCAGAATCCATTTTTTGGGTTTTCTCCTCTAACCCCAACGGGGTTGACTTGAAGAACGGATATTGTGAATTAACCACGGCTGGTCGTTTTGCCCCTTGGTTTATTCGGTCCGAGTCTCGGTTTTGGTGTGGGATTAACGTATTTCACATGCGAGCGGCGCACACAAGCGAGCGGCGCACCCCACCAAGCCTATTAATTTCAAATGCATTTATCTTAACCAAAACGCCATTAAATTCAATCAGCTAAACTCGAGGTCTATTAGGACATGTAGTCATTCTATGACCCTGAATTCCACATATACTGCACTTCGTTTTTGCCCTCGTACGCGGCTGAGAAGGTGCCGGAGCTAATCCTGCCTCACGGGATCCTTGTGCTAAAACTGCTTGCTCTGGCTGCGCTATTAATGAAGAGGCCTCTAAAACTGAGAGACCTTCTTCGGAAGTTATCTGCCTTGTAGATCTAGTCTTTTTTCGCTTCTTCTTCTCGTTTTCAGCGCGTAAATCGCTTACTTCTTTCTCGAGAATAGCTGCCGATTGCATTGTGATTTGACAGGCCTTTAAAACCTGATTTATCGCGCAATTAAGCGGGCTCGGTGGGCTTTTTGAGCGCTGTTTTAGCAAAGCTTTAATTGAGGAAGCTTGTTTTTGTAATTGGACGTAGTTCGACGGCGTTTTTAGCTCCCACTCGCTTCCTCGGCTCGAGGGGGTGTCGGGGTTCGAAGGCAAATATCGAGCTTTGAGATTACTCGATCGGGGTTATAAGGCATTAAACCGGCGGCGGCGAAGCTATTCTTAATAGTCTCCGATTTAAATGCCTCGATTCGCGCGGACGGGTAGGCTTCGAGGAAGTCTAGCTTATCAATATGGTTGATTCTAGCACGCATTTTTGACTCGATAAGCCGACCGTACGCGCGCTTTAACACCGCAAAACAGCCGATATCGAGAGGCTGTAAAAGGTGAGACGAGTGCGGAGGCATACAAATTGCGATAATATCGTTTTTCTCGCAAATTTCGTCGAATTTCGGGGTTAAATGACTTCCGTGGCCGTCGAGTATTAAAAGTCTATACTTCCCCTTCGCACGCGAAGAAGTAGACGGAATAAAGAGCTTTTCGAGCCACCGAAGACCAATTTCATCAGAAGTCCATCCGTTCGGACTAACCTCAAGGCGCCAATCGTCCGGGAGGCCGTCGAACCAAGATTCGATAAAGACTTTGCCTTTAAAAATCACACACGGAGGAAGCGCCCACCCCGACGCGTTTATACACTCAATTGTAGTCACCCACGCGCGATTTCCGGGTTGTAAAAGTGCTCGCCGACCGTAGTATTCCCTTCTCGTAATAACCTTCGCGGTTGTAATTAAGCCCATTGCAAAACCAGTCTCGTCGAAGTTATAGATATCGTCGGGATCGATACCGTAGGAAAGGATCGTTGTTTGGACGAGAGAAAACCAATCTCTAATAATCTTCGGGTCTTCGCATTGCGCACGCTTGAAATTGTATCGTTTTGAGAACCGAGATGATAGGTTTGGATGCCTTTTTACAAAGTTTGTAACCCAATTCTCGCCGACCGAAATAACGGGGGTAGATCCACGCGCCGCGAGTAGTAAATCTGCCATTTCTCGTACAGAAGAAGGCCGAGGGGCTGCTCCGCGAAAATCCATAGAGATAATCCATTTTTGAAGAGATTCCTCCTCGATTTCTGTCAATTTATGGCTATTTGCGCGTGTTTCGCTACGCGTTTTATGGCCCTTGAGACGGCGGCGTAAAGAGGTCTCCGGTACATCAAATAGACGTGCTGCTTGACGAACAGCGCTTATTTCTTTATTCTTAATAGCCTGGATAGCTAATAAGATCCTACCCTCTTGCTCTGTACGATTTCGAGAGCTTTGAGAGCGAATTGGTGGCATGGTGGGTGGTTGAATAAAGAGAGTCTAATTAATTGACGCGTTTTAGGTGGGGTGCGCCGCTCGCTTGTGTGCGCCGCTCGCATGTGAAATACGTTAGTCTGTTTGATATTATTAGGACACAACTGCTGGCAGCCCCTTCTACGTTTGAATCGGAAGTTGCGAAAATAACGACGATCTATTTGCTAGGAAACTTAAAAAAACTCTCAGGCCTCGTCATTTTGGGCACGGACCTCCGACATATTACGCCGAGCGATCAAGCTACTTCTAAAAGAGCAATTCCCCATGTGAACCAATGATCAAAGGCTATAGACAGGCATGGACTCTCTCGTTCATACACAGTCCCCAAGCCCGAACCACATTGGCTTTCTATTGCAATATTGTGGAGTAAAGCTCAATATGCTCCCACATTCTGTCTGCCAATGCCTGTTGGAAAGATGGATTGATCTGATTGCCCCACTAGAAAGTTTGAGTGGTGAATTGCCGTACTGGTGGCCGCCAGAAATCCAATATAGAAGACCATTCAATCTACCTAAATCTGGTATGTATCTGCAATCGAGTGAGATGGTTTTAAGTTAATCAAGAGAAGCTCTTGTGAAGCTTTTGCAGCATCTGTTATGTGGGATTGATTACGACAGGGTTTCCATCAAGAGACTTGATATGGAGACACGAGATATGCCAGCCATCAGGGAGTCAGAATTATATCGGAATATTTTGATGGATATTTTCGTTGCTATAACCAGCAGTATCTCCTCGGTCTTGCGTTTCAGACAGCAATACCGAACACATGTGCAGGTGAGCCTCTTGAATATCCACTGCTGAAGTATCGAACTGCTGGATGACAAGATGATGACAGCCTAGGTCTTAGACGACATCAGAACGGAACCATGTGACGCAAGCCGGATGGCGATTGGGAACTATCTTCCATTCATGCGTAAAAAGAACAAAGTAAATTGGCATGAGTCAATACATTGCTTTTGTACGTACTGTATCGTGCGACGGGTTCCCAGGATCGTGGCACGAGTTCCTATCGACCTGTAGTTGACCTCTAGGAGCTTACGTCGGACTCTCGGGACCTTCAATTTCCCTTCGGACAGGGATTTTATCCGGAGCAGCAGCTTACATATAATACCTATGGAGCAAATGGTAAACTCATTGGACTATTTGAACTATATTTTGAAGGGGATGGAAGCTATTCCAATGTTGACGGGACGAATTCAACTTATATTACACAAAGATAGCCAAGTGGACATCACGCACAAAATTTGGATTCATAAAGTCAGTTTAATATCCAGTTCAGCTGGCCGGCAGAATCTTGGCCGGAGCCTTGACTTTGAAGGTTGCGCATGTCGTTGGAAATGGGTATATCTTGGGGTGAGTAAGGTGAATTCGGCGCCGAGTATTTGGGCTCAGTGTTATGCCCATGCGTTTGGGAGGCTTCTGGTCTGTCGCCTACCCCATCGTCTCCATATTGCATAATCCCGATGGAATTTGGTTGTTGATCATTCTTGGCCGGCTTCCCTGAGTGCGGAGGGAAGTTGACCTTCAGCACCAAGGGGCTCGATCGGCTCGATCGGCTCAATTTCGAAGGTTTTTCCGGCATTCCACACTCTACTTGGATTCCCATTCGCTTAGCCTGCTGCCTTAGAGAATTAACACTAAGCCGATTCCCCGTGGTCTTCCAGTAATCGTCTGCTATCCTTGGCCAGGACATATGACATCGGCCACGCATAAAGTCCGCATATGCTGTTTTCTCTGCCCTGGTCCAGCGGTGGCGAGGCTGTGAGGGAAGCACGCCTGGCCCCCCGGTGTTTGTGCAAATGGTTACTCTTTCAGATGCAGCAGGGGCTCCGTGCGGCGTGATTTGCTGAGTTTGCACTAGTCGGGTATCAGGTGGGGGAGTTTGTGGTCCATCAATTGGCAAGGTGCAATTCTCTTCACCCCCGAATTCCCAACTGAAGATCCGAGAGATGAAAGCCGTGAAGACATGATCGGCCCCTGGCCAACAGGCTCAGGGGGGAGGGTGCGATTCCGGTCGAATCCGAGAGATTGCTGCTATAATCTTTGAGTTGTTTCACGACGTGTTGGATCTTCGCAAATGCTAATGGGATTTAGCCGCTTGGTACATAATCTTTCACGATAGCTGTGGCATCTCACCTTGTATCATATCTTTACCCAGCTCAGACATGTCGCCTAGCAGGGCAGTAATAGTCTCCTGCTCTGCTTTCAGATCCTCAGGGAGGGGCCCCGAGCAGAATATCTTCCGAAAAACAGGAGAGCAAACTGCTTCCCGGTCATGTTTGTTCATTTCTATTGTCAGACCTTGCGTACGGTAATGAAACATCTCATTGCCATGGGGTTCGAACTGGCCAGGTCTTGCGTCCCGAATGAGATCTACCCAGCCCGGAGTAACTCCATAGTCATTCATCGGACCATTTGTCTCAACGATACGTGGGCAAGAGCTGCTGAAGGAGCCGCCAATGATGTCTTCCAATCTGCTGCCGAGTAGAGGTACGTTCAGGTGCCTCGCGATACCCTTTCCTTCATCGATAGCGGTTGAGTATGAGTCCAAGGACGCAAGAATTGACTCGATTTTGGCGCGTAAATCAGGAATTTTTTGCAATTGACCGGGGTTATGACGGACAAACAAGTCCAATTCGGAACCACGTTGGTCTTGAACCGATAGAGGAGGTTCCGGGGCGTCGGGGCTTTCTTCCATGTTTCGACGGTCAGAATCCTACGTTTGGCATCAAAAGGTTCAAAACGCCCGATAAATATTGCTGAACAGATGTCCAGATTGACCTCGTGGAGAACGAGGGCAAATCTTCATTGTCATCTTAATTTGTCCTAGACCGGGTTGTCGGGTTGGAACGACGTTCGCTTGCGGGTTGCGAGGGAGCAAAGCCAATGATATGTGGTGTTTGTTGGTTGTAGGGAGCGCCGTTGGTGATGGATTTGATTAGCGCGCAAGAGGCTTGGTTAGCTCTTCCACTAATGCAAGCACATTGAAGCTAGTTTGATGCGAGACTTCCGGCTCGGGAAATGTGACGCGGCTAGCCGCATCGGAAGTATCGGCAATCTTCTTTGCCTCAGAGACCCGAAGGAGCCAAGACTAACAGAAGTGCGAATGACGATGGGGCATGGGTATTGACGTTGATCCAGATTGGCCGGGCCTTGGTCCGTGCACGGTGGAACGCCCTTGATGTTTACCCCTGAGTTTCAGTGGCTCTGTTTTCGGCCCCATTTGCCTTCATTGAGTTGGGGACGTTGAAGGCAACACCGCGCAGATGGAAGCATGCCATGGGTATGGGCCGAGTAGCTTGACTACGCAAGTATCTAGGTGGGAAATCAAGAAGGTGAACCATTTTGGAGATACTTTCTACGAGCATAGGGAGCTGCTCAAGGCTATGAGCAGGGAGCTTTTTACTTGATGATGATGATGATGATGATGATGTACAGTCAACTCTCGCTTATACCACGGTGGGATATTGCACATTCTTGATAATAACACATCCCTTGCTTGGATGGCCCCTTCATTCCAGTTTTTTCCATATAAATTGACAGAATATAACACATTTTGTTTTACCACACTTTCTTCCTCTCAAATCTGCTTAGTCAGCGCAATCAACCAATCAGAATGCCTCAATCTACAAGCTCTCCTACCCTCCCGACCCCACCCAAGCGCGTCAGAATGGGACCAAAGCGTACCAAATTGGGTATATCAGACGCGCAGAACCAGGCACTACGGGCATTTTGGTCTAATACTAGCCCAAAGCCCACGCAGACTGCATGTGCTAAGTGGTTTGAGGACCAATTCAAACAAGTGATTGACCGGTCAACCATATCAAGGATCCTTTCATCCAAATACAATTATCTTGATACGGGCCCTGCAGGGGCAAACAAACGATCTTCATCCTCTCATTGGCCATTATTGGACCAAAAGCTATATGACTGGGCAGATAACCAAATTGGCAATGGAATACCAATAAATGGCCCTTTGATCCAAACTAAAGCAGCTGAGCTTTGGAGACAAATACCGGAATACAAAGATCGGACCAAACCTCAATTCTCTGAGGGTTGGTTAACTCGCTTCAAACAACGCCACTCTCTTCAATATCATACTTTCCACGGAGAAGCTGCCTCAGTCCCATCCTCGGTACATGATCAGATCAAAAGCACCAAATCGATTTGCAATCAATTCAAACCGTCCGAAATCTACAATATGGATGAAACTGGCCTATTTTGGCGACGTATGCCAAATGGTGGTCTTTCAAAGGGAAAAATTGCTGGCAAAAAGCTTGATAAAACACGAATCACTATTGTTGTTGCATCAAATGCGGATGGTTCCGATCGAGTCCCTTTATGGTTGATTGGCACAGCAAAAACCCCTCGCGCACTCCGGGGGTTAATTTCCGAGCTCTGGGATGTGTTTGGCGTCACAACAAGGCAGCATGGATGCGTCATGACATTATGGAGGACTGGTTGCGATCTTTCTATGGGCGTATTCCCTTAGATAAGAAAGCTTTGCTCCTTTTAGACAATGCTTCACCACATGTTATTGGACTCCAGCGAGCGCCACCACCACCCCGGATTACGGTTGTTTTTTTGCCAGCAAACGCAACTTCAATTTATCAACCCTTGGACCAAGGTATTATCCAAAACTTGAAGCACCATTATCGGAAGAAATGGATGCGCTATATGATTGCTTTTCTTGATCGTGGGATAGACCCAAAACAAAGAATGAGCATTTATTATACTGTTACCTGGGTAACGCAAGTTTGGAGAACAAGTGTATCAGACCAAACGATTATCAATTGCTTTAAACAAAGTACTTTGATTAGTCCAAAGTCTATACCTATACCTGAGTCCGCGCCCGAGTCCGCACCTGAGTCTGCACTATTTTCCGAGCCCGGATTGAGTGATGAGATTGAAAGTCTATATAATCAAGCAATTGATAAGCTTGGTGATAAAGATATTGTGCCATTTGACGAGTTTTTGAACCCTTCGGACGAAGACATGTTAGAAGATGGGACTGAAGGGCGAGATGAGACCAATGAGCAAGATATATATATTGCCCCAACAACCTCAGAAATTCAGGATATTGACATTGATGGGCCCCCACCTGAGCTTCTGTCTAATTCTGCTATATTGGACAGCCTCCAGGATATCCTACTATGGGTTTGTAGCAAAGAAAAGGGTACCTCGGACCATATTAGACAAATTGAGAGCTTAATCAGCGACTTTGGCAGGATTCAGATTGATGAGAAACGTCAGGTGACTTTGGATCAGATGATGGGATGGAAGACTAAATAGGTATTAGGGCTTAGAGTTAGCTTGTCAAATATTATGTCATCCTCTCACCAAAACACAACTCAATTATACCACGTAATTTGGCTTGGATAGTATGCTGTGGTATAAGCGAGAGTTGACTGTATTCATTTGCCCGATGTAGCTCGCTCTATATATATGCTGCTATGCGGGAGTGCTGTCAGGCCTGCCGACAGCTGGAAGGTGGTCGCCAGCCCACTGGGCGACCGTCAGGGAACTCGCCTTGCGAATTTCTGATCAATCGCCCTCGAATCGAAAGACGTAAACTAAACAAAAGAAATGCACGGATGCAAACATGATAAACACAAAGCCAAAATGAACGTCATTTACCCCTGGTCGCGGGTAGGACCAGGGCCCCGCTTCAACACACCATTCCCACGCCCTCTTCTCTCCAACTGTCCAGTCTTGTCGGCTGCCGCTTGCGCGCTCGCTTGGATCAAGGGAGTACAGTGGACCTGGCACTGCACTCCTAATGGGCGCCATCCTTCTTCTTCCGTCACACTGTCTAAGGGATCATTGTCTCCGCTCCTTTGTCGTCCCCTTCCTCGCCCAGAGCCGTAGGGTCGACTGTCTGAAATTGGCCTAGGAGGCCGGTCTTGACCATGAATTCGGCCACAACTGTGCGGGCCTCCGGTCGTGTGAGGAGTTCGTCCCGGTGGAGAGCGACTCCCTGGTATGAGAGAGCGCTTCTCATCCAGTCTCGCTCGTCCTGGTGCAAGGGGCATTCCAGTAGGACGTGTGTTACTGTTTGGCTGCCAAGATCGCAATCACACCGCGCTGTCTCGCGTCGGTTGATACGATTCAGGTAAGCCCCTAGGCCAATTCGCCCAGTTCTAAGCTGCATCAGAATCGATGTCGTCGCTTTGCGCAAGCCCGTCCAGTATTCCAGCGTCTTCTTTGTTGGTGCTTCAATCAAGCGTTTCGTCGGACGACTGGTCGCTTCCTTGGCCCACGTTCTGTCCCACTCCAGCTTCGCTTCTCTGCGAATTCGTCGTCTCGCTGCGGCTGCGAGACATATGTCTCGGTTGAGGGGGTTATGCAGCCCGTCCTGTTCCTGCGCCGCTTCTTTTGCGTGTTGGTCCACGATCTCGTTGCCAATGACTCCTTGGTGCGCAGGAATCCATCTGAGTTCTGTCCGAATGCTTCTGCCCGCAAGTTGTCGGATCAGGTTGAGGCATCCTGCTAGATAGACCTGTCCTGACGGCATCCGCGGTCGTCTCAGCGCCTTCAGCGCTGCTTGGCTGTCTACAAAGATGACTACCCCGTTTTTCGCCTGCTTAGCCCATGGCTCTGTGCTTTCCAGAACCATTTCAAGTGCCATCTCAATGGCTCGAAGCTCTGCCGCATATACGGTGGACGTATTATCATCTCCCATCTGGCTATGAGCATGTTGATCCTCAAGGTCCACGACCGCTGCCGCTCCGATCCTTCCATCAATTCCGCTCCCGTCGGTGTACAGAATCAAGGGTCTTTCTCTTGGGTCTTTCATCAGGATCTGGTTGTGATTGTTCACCGCAGCTTCTCTGTCCTCGATGATTACCTCTGGTGGCGCTTGCCATGGTGCCAGGACGAATGCCTTTCGACTCTCCCATTTCCTCGTCAAAGTATCCGGGGGAGCCATAAGACATCCGCCCGCCTTCCAAGCTTGCGCCTCCATCGGTGACCATCCAGCCCAGTCTCTCTCATCTGCCGGTCGTCGACGTAACATCGTTGGCGGGACAGCGAACTTTGGTCCTGTCCGTAGTCGAAGGGCCGTTTCTTTCACCAGTCGATTCATGTGAACAGAAATAGGCGGTAGGTGAAGCTCTGCATTCAGTGCCTCTGCTGCCGTAGTTCTGAAAGCTCCACTGATGAGACATGCTGCCTGCTTCTGGATTGCCACGAAAGGCCGACTGATTATGCGTGCCTTGGAATGACTGATGAGCATAGGTTGATACCACGCGGAAACCCCAAAGAGCATCTGCGGGATTATCACCGCTTGGTAGATCTTTCGCATTGCATAGAGTGAGGCTCCCCACGTTGATCCTGCCAGGCTTCGTAGTGCGTGGAGAGAGACACCGGCCTTGGCCACCGCTTTCTCGCGGTGATGGTGGAATTCCAGACCCGGATCCAGCCAATAGCCTAGGTACCGCTCAGCCGTCCTCGTCGCTGTCACCGTGTGTCCTCGTAGAGAAAGCGATGTGTATTGTGGGTCGACTTCCCTGGTGTTTACAAAATGCACGAGTGCATACTTCTTCGGGTCAAAAACTGATGCATGTTTCTCGGCCCATTGGTCGGCTTTGCGGCATGCCGCTCTGAGTTTCTTGATGGTTTCGCGTTCGCTGTCTCCCTTTGTCATGAAGCAAACATCGTCGACCCACCCGTTGCTAGTCACACCGTTACCGCAGTTCT